CAGGGGACTTTGGAGAGCGCCCAAAAAAGATCCATTGCATGACAAGATTTGTATAATAATAAACACAATAAATAAACACATAATAATAAACACATTTTATCATTACAAAATATGAATTCATTCAGTTAATAAATAGTTCAAAATATATTTATATATATTAAAAACCTATATATATATATATATATTATAAATACTGTATATATAAATATATATATCTATCTTCTACAGTATCTATATTTTATTATACAGTATACATTAATTCTTTACAGCATGATGGTATTCATACAACAGGGGTGGGCAAACTCAAGCCATCCAGCTGTGTGTGAACCTACAATTCCCATCATGCATCTGCCCCTGGGAGTCATACCTGTGGCTGTCAGAGTCTTGCAATGCCTAATGGGATTTGTAGTTGCTCCACAGCTAGAAGGCTGGAGTTTGCCTACCTCTCCTTTAGAAGGTCAGCATGTTTCATGGGTTTTATCTGCTCCTACAGCTGTCATGCATCCTCGTAATCCACATTCGGTGCCCGGACAACTTTCACCCAGAGTAGATATCCCAGAAGCTGCAAAGCCGGCACACGGTGCTCTTCCAAAAAGAATCAGATTTTATTCCACAAGCATCTGAACAAAAAACAACTGCTGCTCCTTTCTGCCTTAGTCGTCCTTAGACCGCAGCTATGACTAAGGCAGAGTAAAGCAGAAACGCATGAGCGTACAGGTGCATGTGGAATAAAATCTGATTCTTCCTGGAAGAGCGTCGGGTCCGGGTTCTGTGGTCTCTAAATGTTTTTAATATCTTTTTAAAATGTTCATTTTTTTGCAATAATGAAATGTGTTTGTTTTTGTACAAACAAATCTTTTTGTGCAAGAGATCTTTCTTGGGTTCTATGTTCAAAGTCCCCGGCTTCTTCTTGATAGTTTTATAACATTTGCTTACAACAAGATTGTGGAATTGATTTGGCTACATTTCTTTCTGGTTCAGCATCGAGAAGCACCTTTCGGGACAGCAGGAAGAAAACATCCCCAACTTGTTTTTTGAAGGTTCAGGCTGTGGAGCTGAGCTGCCACCATCATCCTTCCTTTAGGGCCCCTTCTTGCGTCTTTTCACGCATTCGCATGCACCCCATTAAGGCAGCCCATTCAAATAAATGGCCTGGCAAAGCCGCAAATGCCTAAGAAACCAGACCACCATTTTTGGCAACACATCACAACACACAGTAGTGCAATAATGTTGACTCGGACCTCAGCTTTCTTCCCCACATCCAATCACTATCCAAATCCTGCCGCCTTCACCTTCATAACATCTCCAAAATACGCCCCTTCCTCACCAATGAAACCGCACAATTACTCATCCACTCACTTCACTATTATAACTCCCTCCTCATTGGCCTACCTCAACACAGGCTCCTCCCCTTCAGTCTAGCATGAATACAGCTGCTAGACTCATTCACCTAACCAACCGCTCAGTGTCTGCAACCTCCCTCTGGCAATCACTGCATTGACTTCCAATAGACCAAAGGATTACATTAAACATATTAACAACCACTTACAAAGCCATCCACAACTCTGCCCCCGGCTATATCTCCAACCTCGTCTCTAAGTATCACACTAACCGTCCCCTCCGCTCTTCAAAAGACCACCTGCTTTCCAGCTCCCTCATCAACTCCTCCCATGCTCGCCTCCACGACTTCACTAAAGTCTCTCCCATCCTCTGGAACTCTTTACCCAAACCTGTCCGTCTATCTCCCACTCTGACTGCCTTTAGGTGATCCCTGATCCCTCATCTCTTCAGGGAAGCCTATCCCACCTCAACCTAACCACTGAACCATCACGTTCTCAAACAATTTATCCCCACGCAGCTACCTCCTCATGTATCACTGGCCCCTCCCTTTTAGAATGCAAGCCCTCAGGGGCGGGGCCCTCCTTCCCATCTTGTCTTGAATTGTATTGTGATTGTAATGTTTTCCTTATATTGTAAAGCGCTGCGCAAACTGTTGGCGCCATATAAATCCTGTATAATAATAATGGTGTGCTGCAACACATGCGCATTTGAGCTGTGTTGCTGTTTAACACTCCAGCGCAATGATGCACATAATGGCATTACCACAACCTACCATAGTGGAAATGTGCGTTTTGGCCCTCACCGTCTGATGAGTCCTAAAATTCATACAGGCCTGGCGCCCCAACACTTAGGGATGTATTTATAAACCACTGAATGTGACATTCACCAGACCTTCACTGCAAGTGAACTTCCTAGAGTATTTGCTTTGAATTACTAGGAAAGATTCGCCACCAGTGAATATTTGGGGAGATGACATTCACTGTTTTATAAATAGGCCCATTAAAGTGTTTCTAAAGCCAAAACCTCTTTTTAGAAAGGGTTAAAATCTCTATCAGATTTTTTTTTTACTGCAGTCTATGCCACCATTGGGGATATTCACTCTCTCTGTCTGTCTCAGTGTCCCCGGACTGAAAGTGAAGGAAAGTCTAAGATTTTGAGTGATCACTAGAACAGGAACAGAGAGAAATTCTTCCATTGGGGACACTTGTTCCAGTGACAACTGTATAAGAGGGAAATTCCCTCATTTTGGAGCGGTTTCCTGTCACCTCCCATTGTGTCTGCAGAACAGGAAGTGAGGGAATATCTTCCCAATGCGACACGGATGGCAGAAAAATACAGCAGGGGTTTTAACCCAATCCTGCTCCATCCAAAATGAAGAAAAAAAAATGACTGCAGAAGTGCCTACAATGGCAAAAACAATGAGCTGTGAGGCTTTGAATACCTTTTGTTTGGAAGCACCTGGGATTTTTTTTAGCTGATTTAAACTAAAAATCAGGGCTTCAACCAATGAAAAGTGCCGCCATCTGCTTCCATTGGTGTTTGGCAATAAAGAACACTGCAATCCCTGTTCTCTTTCCTACTGTCTCCATCTCCCTCTGCAGCCGCACATTCAATAAAAACCCATAAAGCTTTAATATCTTCGTCAGAGGCCACTAATGCCTTGTAAATGCCCAGGAGTGTGCTTTCCAAACTCCCCCACAGAGGATCGTCCTGTCTTGTAGATGCGCTACCAGATCTGCAATATTGTAGCACAGAATAATCCCACTGACTGGGTAGAACCAGATGCAGAATCATGGGCTTTTGTGGCGTTTGTTACTTTGTATTGGGTCTGGAGGAAACCCAAAATCACTGCGATCAATTGTGGACGATACCAGGGCAGGTCCCAGGGGCCATGACGCACTTAGTATATCATATTGTATGTTTCCCCAGCTCTGTGCCAAATAGAGTTTAGCATCCCTGTGCCCATTGCTGGTAATTATCTAATTATTCTTTAAGCAGTAATGTTCTTTCATCTAATGAGCAAAACCTTCCAGATTGTTTACTATCAAAAACACCGGCTCAACCCTACTCAGTATTCCTACATCAACATCTGTCTGCCTCCATCTCTATCCCATCTCTCTGTCTATTTCTATCTCTTCATCTATCTATCTATCTATCTATCTATCTATCTATCTAACTATCTATCTATCTATCTATCTATCTATCTATCTATCTATCTATCTATCTATCTATCTATCTATCTATCTAACTATCTATCTATCTATCTATTTATCTATCTATCTATCTATCTATCTATCTATCTAACTATCTATCTATCTATCTATCTATCTCTCCTGTTGCTCTCGTTCTGTATCTGTTTTCTCTTGCTGCGTTGTCTTTTTTCTCTTCATATCTCTCTCTTTCTGTCTATATCTCCCATCTCCCTCTCTCTTTCAGTCTTTCTCTCTCTTTCTTTACACTTGTCTCTCACTCTCCTTCTCATGTCTCTCTGTCTCATTCCTCCCTGTCTTTCTATCTCTCTCTCTTCATCACTATTTACCTCTCAGCCCCTCTTGTCTCTATCTCTCTTTCGCTTCCTTCCCATGTCACACCATCTCTCTCCAACTCTAACTGTCTCTGTCTTTCTCCCCCTCTCTAGATTTCTCCATCTCTCTCTTCTCTCTCTCTCCCTCTCTGTCCTTTTATCTCTCAATTCTTTCTCTCTCTTTCTTTCTCTTACTCTCTGCCCACCTCTCTCTCTCTATCTCCTACTCTGACTATATTTCTCTCTCCATATCCCTCTCTCTCTCTCATCTCTCTCTCTAGCATTCTCCCCTCACTTCCTCTTGTCCCCTGTTTTCTTCATATCTCTCTCTCTCTCTCTCTCTCTCTCTCTCTCTCTATATATATATATATATATATATACTATATCT